GGGCACGCCCCGGGCGGTTCCCCCGGCATCCGCCCCGCGGTTCCCCCAGTGACGTTCCCTTAGCTTCGCGTTGCTTACCTCATCTTAGCTTAGCTTATTTAATCGCTTCGCTCATTCCGCCGGCCCTCGAGCACTCTATGGGGCCTCTTTGAAGCCTCTTGGGGGCCTCTTTGGGGCCTCCTGGGGGCCTCTTGGGGGCCTCTTGGGGGTCTCTTGGGGCTCCTTGGCGGCGTCTTGGGGCCCCCTTGGGCCTCTTGGGGGCCTCTTGGGGGGCTCTTGGGGGCCTCTTGGGGCGGGGTAGTCGAGTGCACCTCCCTCGGAGGCCACAATTCTCGTGAGGGGTGTCGAAAAACTGGCCTTCAAAACCATCTCTGAGTAGACCTTCCCGGGCTGCGGTCGGGGTAGTTTTCGCCGGGGGACCCCCAGGGGCCGCCCCGCGCGCGCGAACTAGAAGAATTGTTAACCAGTTACCGGAGATCTTAGCACGCCTCTGGCCCGTTGGGCCGGCGAATCTCATCTTACCTTAGGTTAGCTTCATCTTAGCTCAGGTTTGTCTTAGCTTAGCGTACCTTCATCTTAGCTTCGCTGAGCTTTAGCATAGCAGAGCACATCATAGCATAGCATAGCGTAGCATAGCATAGCGCAGCATCGCATATCATAGCATGGGTGTAATTCTCTACCTAGGCTCTGCTTAGAGGGTTCGCTTAGCTTAGCTTAACTTTGCATAGCGCAGCGCTGCATTAGCACAACATAGCATAGCATACCATAGCCAAGCATAGCATAGCATAGCGCAGCATAGCATAGCATAGCATAGCATAGCATAGCATCGCATAGCGCAGCTTAGCATAGCATAGCTAAGCTTACAGGGCCGGGCAGTGGGGTTCGCCCCGGTCGGTTCCCCCGGCATCCGCCCCGCGGTTCCCCCAGTGACGTTCCCTTAGCTTTGCGTTGCTTATCTCATCTTAGCTTAGCTTATGTAATCTTACCTTAGCTTCATCTTAGCTTAGCTTAGCTTCATATAGATGTTGCTTTCCTAGATCCTCCAACTCCTAGGTAGGGTCGCACTGGGATAATTTAAAAGTAGCCTGGCGAAGGACCCAACCATATACATTCGTGAGGACCGTCGTTGTATGCACCGCATTCGAGGGAGCTCCCTATGGGGCCACGAAGCGTGTGAGGGGTGTGCTAAAAATAGTCCGGCGGGCGCTTGCGATAGCAGCCACTGAGGCCGTCGGTGAAATTCGCTATGGGGCCACGAAACGCGTGAGAGGTGTGCCGAAATAGCTGCGGTGGGCGCGTGCGAACGCAGCCACTGAGGCCGTCGGTGGAGCTTCGTATGGGGCCGCGAAATGTGTAATGGGTGTGCCGAAATGGGTGCGGTGGGCGCATGCGGGCGCAGCCATTGGCACCGTCGGTGGAGCTCCCTGTGGGGCCGGGGTGTGCCGGAATGGGCGTGGGTGGCGCATGCGGGCGGTGGCACCGATGCCTTCTTTGGAGCTTCCTATGGGGCACGAAACGTGTGAGGGGTGTGACGACATGGGTGTGGGTGACGCATGCGGGCGGTGGCACTGTGGCTTTCGGTAGTGCTCCCTGTGGGGTCACGAGACGTGTGAGGGGTGTGCCGAAAGGGGTGTGGGTGACGCGTGCGGGTGGTGGCACTGGGTCCTTCGGTGGAGCTCCCTATGAGGCCACGAAATGTGTAAGGGGTGTGCCGCAATGTGTGTGCGTGACGCATGCGGGCGGTGGCATTGTGGCCTTCGTTGGAGTTCCCTATGGGGCCACGAGACGTGTGAGGGGTGTGCCGACATGGGTGAGCGTGACGCATGCGGGCGGTGGCGCTGGGGCCTTCGGTGGAGCTCCTTATGGGGTCACGAGACGCGTGAGGGGTGTGCCGAAATGGGTGTGCGTGACGCATACGAGCGGTGGCACTGTGCCCGTCGGTGGAGCTCCCTGTGGGGCCACGAGACGTGTGAGGGGTGTGCCAATATGAGTATGGGTGACGCATGCGGGCGGTGGCACTGGGGCCTTCGGTGGGGCTTCCTACGAGGCTTCGGAACATGTGAGGGGCGTGCCGAAATTATTGTCGGTGACGCATGCGGGCGATGGCGTTGGGGCCTTCGGTGAAGCTCCATCTGGGGCCACGAAACATGTGAGGGGTGTGCCGAAATGGGTGTGCGTGACGCATGCGGGCGGTGGCATTGTGGCCTTCCGTAGGGCTCCTTATGGAGCCACGAAACGTGTGTGTGTGGGGGGGTGCCGAAATGAGTGTGGGTGACGCATGCGGGCGCTGCAGGGAGGAGGGGGATGAGGAGTGAGTGAGTGACGCGGGGCGGTGTCTCTGCACAACGAGGACCCGAATCCACAGGATGGTCGGGAAAAATAATTTGAAATTCCCATTCAGAATCCGCCTGTAGGAGGACGTGCCCGACCTAAGGTCAGGGCGAAGACGCCCATGGGGGAGGAGGGCACGGGAGGGGCACGGGGGTAGAGGTAAGTGTTGCAGCGAAGGAGGGGGAGGGACAGATTTGGTGACGGACCTCCCCTCCGAGGCTCTTGCACCGTGATTTTGTGGGATGCGTGGCCCCCAGACCTCTCGTCCACCTTCCCGGAGACCCGTTGTCGTCCCCGGCAGTTCCTTGACTGTCCTGGGAAACGAAGCGGATTTCTGGACGCTGGAGGTTGGGAGGAACAACGCGCTTTGATGTTGTCATTACGTTGGGCTCCCCCCCGGTGTGAGTCTATATTTGTCCGTCTCTGTTGGGTTGTCCAAGAAACACATCGAGTGGGGCACGAAGCCCATCACCGTGTTGCGACGGGAGATTGGCTCACGTCGTGACGTGAATGACGGAAAAGTTTACTGTAACCCCGGGCACCGCCTATAGGGACGTGTTCCTGCTTCTGATGCAGGACCACTCCGTCACTGATGTTTCACGAAAGTGGGTGCAGGGGTGTGCGACGCCCAGTTCCTGGAAGAGGAGAAGGAGGATGAAGAGGACTAGCAATGATCGGGTTGACCCAAAAGGGGGTCCAGCGACAAGGGGACGGTGCAATAGATTTGGTGCAATCGATTTGTGAGGTGGAAAACGATTTGGGGCCTGCAGTACATTCCGGGGCGCAAATGGCTTGCTTGGCTTCCGCGTGCAGTGCATCAGTTGCAGTACAAGGCAGTCTAGTTCTCTGGCGCCATGCGCTTGCAACACGAGTGCCCCGAGTCTGTGGCACCACCCCCCTTCGGCGGGACCCCTCCTATGGGTCGCAGGGCAGCGGGAGCACCGCGGGGAGCACCCACCCCCGCGATGCGCAGCCGGAGCCTCTGGCAGCCCTCGCCGGCTGCGGTTCTCCGCGGGTGCTCCCCTCGTCCTCCGCGCCCCCCTGGGCGGCACACGGGGCCTCGCCCCCGCCTGCTGTGGGGCACGTCCTCGGGGAGGGGGGAAGAACACACAGACACAAGGGAACGTCGACTCCCAGGAGAATGGAGGAAGGCATGGCAAGTGTGGGGGGGGGAGACGAAAGCCCAGGAGGTGTAGGAAAAGAGGGGCGGTCCTGGGATCTGTGTGTACTGATGTTTGTGTCCATGGGCCCCTTCAGCTCACTTGTTCTGCTGCTTTTCCATCAGCGGCGGGGGCGGGCGGAGGACTTTCACCTCAGCCAGGTGTTCGATCGTTTGCTTCCCCCCTTCGCCTCGTGAAGCGCCACCACCCAGCCTTCGCGCAGAGGGACCGCCGAGCATCGCCGAAGACCCGCCGGCGACCAGCGCAGGCCGGCGTGTACCAGCACAGTCATGAGGAGAGACAACACGCAGACACAATGAATCGGCGATTTCCCGGAAATGTGGGAGAAGGTGGGAAGTGGGGGAGAAGCCTGTGAGGAGGGGCCGCCGGGGGGTGCACGCGCTGTTGGCGTGCGGCGCGCGCGCGCCGTGGAGGAGGAGGAGGAGGAGGAGGAGGAGGAGGAGGAGGAGGAGGAGGAGGAGGAGGAGGAGGAGGGGTGCCTCTCTGGCCGAGCCTGTGAGGAGGGGCCGTGGCGAGAGAGCAGGGCAGGAGCACGGCGCGGGCTCGGGGGTGGCTCGGTGCAGGTCTGCTGCCGGGGGCGAGACACACTCGGGAGGGAAAAGGACTCCTCCTCCTCCTCCTCCTCCTTCTCCTCCTCCTCCTCCTCCTCCTCCTTCTCCTCCTCCTCCTCCTTCTCCTCCTCCTTCTCCTCCTCCTTCTCCTCCTTCTCCTCCTTCTCCTCCTCCTCCTCCTTCTCCTCCTCCTTCTCCTCCTCCTCCTGAGCCGTCGACTCCCAGAAAGATATGGGAAATATGGGAAGTGGGGGGAAGACAGAAGCCCAGGAAATATATGGAAGACGTGGAAGTCCTGTTGTTTGCGTGTATTTGTTTGTGTGTCCCAGGGCCCCTTCACACATATCCGTATCCGCGGCCTCGCCCCCGCGGGTGCCCCGCGCGCAACGTGTCCGTACGACCGCGTAGCGGCAAAGGTCGCGCCCAAGAGCCCAGACCGCGAGGGCGCGGACGCGAGCGTGAGGTGTGCGCCGCTCGCGCCCGCCTCGCACCCACACGTCTGTTGGGGTCGCGACCAGGGGAGACGCGTAGGATCGAGGGGAGGAGGGGTGGAGGAACAAAAAAGGCATGGAGGAGACAGGGGAGCGGGAGGAGGTGGACGGGTCCGAGGCGGGAATTTATACATGACCACCGCCTGGAGGGTCAGTTTTCGGAGCCTCGGCAGGCGGTGGATCTGGTCAGATTCGGGCCCCCCGGGGCCGAAATATATCCATATCCCCCGCCCGCTGGGGCACCAGGACGTCGGTTCCCAGGCGGTGGATATGGATACATCCCCGCCTCGCAAGGGGAGCAGGCGCAGGAGCGGAGGGGCACGAGGAGGAGGGGCGGTACAAGGAGGAGGGGGCGTTGAGCCCGCCGGTGGCAGCCAGCGTGCGAGGAGGCCCGCCGTGCCCCCCCCCCCCACGGAGGGTCTGCGCGCGCCCGGCCCCTCCGCGAGGAGGTGAGCGTCACCGTCGCGCCGGCCGCGGGCGCCTCCGGCAGAGGGCTCCAGGAGGCGGCGTCGGCCAACGTCTCCGTGGCGTGGGGCGCGGCCTACGAGATCGTGGCGGCCTCGGAGCTTCCGCCGCGAGGGGGGTGGGGGGGCAGCGCCAGGGATGGGTTCGAAGAAGAAGAAGAAGAAGAAGAAGCGGCCTGAACATGACCTTTCGGCGCTCCGCGCTGGCCCCTCTGGCGGCGCCCAGGGAGGGCGGTTCCAGCGCAGATCCAAGAAGTCCACGCGTAGCGCCAAAAGTTTATGTCTATGGCGTTCTTTCTTCTTCTACCGAGGGAAGGGGGGAGCACCGCCAGGGCCAGGGATGGATGTGCACTCTCTGGGAGGGGGTGCACGCTTCGTCCCCCCCCCCCCGTCGCCCATTCGTCGCCAGTGGGGGCCTGTCGGCCACGCGTAGAGGGGGGTACGTGGGGGAGGGGGCCGTAGAATGCTTCTTCGAAGGAGGCTGCTTCTTAGAATGCGGGGGCCTTGCCTGTAGATGCAAGGGCGGCGCCTTCTAAGAGGCAACCTCCTTCTAAGAAGCCTTCCCCCCTATCCCCTCACCCCCCTCTGCGCGCTGCCAAGGCAGCGCCAGGGATGGATGTGCACTCTCTGGGGGGGTGCACCCGCATCGTCCTCCCCCCAGTCGCCCATTCGTCGCCGATGGGGGCCTGTCGGCCACGCGCAGAGGGTGGTGTGGGGGATGGGGGGAAGGCTTCTTAGAAGCACCCTGCTTCTTAGACGGTGGGTGCCTTGTCTGTAGATGCAAGGGCGGCGCCCTCTAAGAGGCAGCCTCCTTCTAAGAAGCCTTCCCCCCATCCCCCTACCCCCTTGCGCGCGCAGCCAAGCCTGATGGTCCACCCCGCCCAGGAACTCGCGGTATCGCTATCTGGGGCACATCGCTGATCTATCGGCGATGCATCGCCGACTCCAGTCCGATGATTCTCCTCGTGAGTTGGTCCCCCATTAACATTCCCCCTCAGTTCCAGAAGGGGCCAGGCCGACCACTTTCGGGCTTCTGCGGGCCTCTGTGAGGGCCCTCGTCGCCACAGCCAGAGTTTCTCTGAAAGCCACATCGAAACGTCGCTCGCTCCATAAAGCTCAGGAGGGAAAACACCACAGACATAAATCATCGCCGATTTCTTTGTAAAATTGGAAACAAGCATCCGGGACAGTTGGACAAAGACACGGGATTCTCGGACTTGTGCTTATTTATATGTGTTTTGTGTTTTGTGTGTGTGTGCGTGTCCCTGGGCCCCTTCAATGTGGCCGGTTCCATGATGCACGGGCCTCACCATCGAGGGGTTGAGGGACCTTCGCTCGCCCGCGGCGGAGGCTCGCGGGGGCCGGCGGAACCAAACAGATGCCTGAGACGAAGAGCCCGGCGTCAGATAACACCTTGTCCAGGCCCCTTTTGGGGCGAATTAGTGGTGGGTCGCAGATGGGGGGGGTGACAGGTGCAGGCCCTAAATCATCGAGAGAAAAATATCCCCTAACCCTAATAACACGACGCAGACGTGGTCTCACTGAGGTCCCCGTCTTCGCATTAGGGATCATGTTGTGGGCGGTTTGGTTTAATACATCTGCAGAAGAGACCACCTATCCCTAATGTTTTGGCTTTCTCGCTTAGCTCCCCTCCCAAATGGTTAGGTGTCCTTTTTGGTGAATTACTAAAGGCCCCCTCTGGGGCCCGAAAGGGTCCCTTCAGGGGCCCTGAAGGCCTCCTTTTCGACAGCCCCCGCTGCCCCCCACTTTATCGCTCCCTCCAGTTATCGCGGTCCAGGACCCCAGATCTTCCAGGATCCGATTTCGGCTCGCAAGGCCGAGGCGCGCTGGGGATGGACAAGAAGCGAGCCTCCAGGGGCTTGATTGTTGTCCACATCCAGTGCGCATCGAGCTTCTGGGGAGGGGAGCCCGAAGCTGCACACTGTAGTGGATATTGGACGCAAGCCTCGCCCGCACACTGAGACCCTGGGGCGCCCCCTCGAGGGCCTTGGTCGGGATGCCTTCTTTTGGTCCGGTCGTCCTCGGGAGGCGGGTGCAGCCTCTCGGGGGCCCCCAGACGGGGTGGTGACCACACCGTGCGGTGAGTCGGTAGGGATTCGGGGTCACCGCCCGATTTTGGGACTCGGGTCGTTCTCCGAGGACGTCTTGGGCGAATGGGGCATCCGAGGTCCCAAAACCGTGCGGTGAGGTCTAGGGGGATTTCGAGGTCACCCCACGGTCTGTCACCGCACCGTTTCGGGATTCCACAGCCTCTCAGTCATCCGGGTGTCCCTGGATGCTGATGGTCGCACTCTGGCTACCCGAGGTGGCCGACCAGGAGGCTGCCGAGACGATCTTCCAGACCGCGAAGCAGATGAGCGACAGCCTCGGTTTGTTGTCGGGGCGGGCATGGCAGGAGAGTGCTCGACACTGCGATCGGCCCGTGGCCTCACGGTAGACGGTGCGAGACAGCGGCGAGTCGGGGGCACAGGCAGCACGAGCACAGCCGGCGGGTTTCGCAGGGGTTTCTCGTTGAGTAAGCATTGGGCCGTGTTGCTTTGCTTTCGCCTTGCTCACATTAAGAAACAGATCGTGTGTTTGCCAGGTTGCCCTCGGGTAGTCTTGGGCTTGGACTGGTATGCACGGGGGCGCAATCGTGGGAGTTGCAAATTTCTAATACGATCTTACCGCAGAGTCTCTGGAGCCAGATTTCGGGGGGGGGGGAGGGTTGCCTTCTTTCCAAAAAAGTGCAAAACCATATGGTACACTGTATCTTCCCTCCCTCCGAGAGTGGTTCAATTTTCCAAGTTGCCCAAAGCTCAGTTTGCAAGTGCGACCTCGAGGGTGCGTCTGTGAGACCGGAGCATGGTCTCCGCGCGCGGTGCCCCTTGCGCGGCACGGTATTGTTGCATTTTGCCCACCTTTTGACGCCTCCGCTGCCACCGCTGCCACAGCCACCGCCGCTAGCACCACAACCACTACCAGGGACCTCAGGAGTGCGCGTCTGCGAGTCCTATTTTCATCAGATTGCATTGTATCCTGTGTTCGGCAGTGGCATCTTGTCCAGTGATCCAGTCGCACTATCTCGCTTCGCGCTGTCGATGTTGCACTCGCAGTGGTGTGCCTGTTTGTCGTGACTCGTCACACCATCATTGTGACATCAGGGGCGCACATAATTACGTGTGTGTTTTCTCAATTTGCGTTGAACCCGCAGCGACTTCGTATCGCGGAGCATCCAAAGGTTTCCGCGATACTTTAGACTTGCGTTCGCCCCCCTTCCCCCACACACACAGCCTCGTGCTCTCAAGGGTGCGCATGCGCAGCCGAAACCGAAGCATCAGCGCAATGTTTGGTCTCGTTTTTTAATGCGTGTTGCTGTTTGTTGCGACGTGTCATTGCAAGACGCGCCGCCTTTTCGATTCAAAGCGTCTCTTCGCTCACTTGATGTTTGTTGTTTTGTCTGCCACCTTCTGCAGAGCGCGCGTGCCCTTGAGCCCAACCTCGTCCCACTCATACGGTGTCGTTTTATTCGAGTGGTGTATCGTTCGTTTTGTTGGACGGGTTTGCTGTGATGCACACGTCGGTCTTGCTTATTTGTCATGCGTTCCCCCCCACGCACTCCCACCCATTCTCGTCCTCTCAAAAGGGCGTGTCCGCCAAAGGTGATTCTACAGGGTTACGCCACGTTCGCCGCCCCCTTAAGAAGACGACAACGCACGAGGCCACGCAGCGAACGTCGCAGTGGAAATGGCTGATCATAGACGATCGGCGTGGTGAGCGCAAATTTCTCCGTTAAGCCGGATTCGCATTTGCGGCCGTGCATGCCAGCAGCAAGCGCGCGATAGTCGGAGCGAACGGCGTGCACAGACCACTCGGGGGCGTGAGCGCGTTATTTTGCGGAGACGCCAATCAGCTGGACCCGCCGTCTGGAAAAGCAATCGATGCGTTGCCCACGTCGTATGTGAACACATGCAAGGAAATATGCGCCAGGGGCCACGGAGAACCACGGACAGCACGCCTGGTGGGGTTCCGGAGGCCAAATGGGCAGTTCAAGGGGTGACGGAGTTGACAGAATTCAAGCGCGTCGAAGGCCAGGGCGATAGGTTTCTGGGCCTGCGAGACGAGTTCCGGCGAGGGGCACGGATTGAACGCGCGCGCAATTTCTCTTGCATGGCAAGCCGACGGACGTGCCAGGGTCGCGGGCGAACGGCGCAGCACAGCGCGGAGACGCGCGCCGTCGAGACAATGCAGGGACGACTGCCAAATAGCAATTCGCTGGAGTGCAAGGCGCGCGAAGGAGAGCGAAATAAAAGAAAACGAGTCGGGACGCGCCGTATGGCGCGCTTTCGGGGGGAGACGTTTGTCGAGGTCGTTGCAACCAATGCCAAACAGAACGCCCGGTGCCACGTCGGGAAGAAGAGGGTCGCGTGGTAGGCGAAGGAGCGAGGAGAACAGCTGCTGTGGGTCGCAGCAAGAAGTGGCCCGTGCCATGGAGGGGAGCGGAGGAGGCCGTGCACGGCGGGGGACAAAATACGGCGGCTGGAGTGCCACGACAAGGGGTGCGCGAGTTTACCGGGTGGCTTCCGCTTGCGAAGGGCATGCCAGTTGCGTTTGGGGACCACCTCGACCGGCCGACTGCGGCGGCGCGCAGCAGCAATTCATCGTTGGGCGTTGCGCGAGGACGTGGTCGCGGTTGGGATGCGACGAGGAAGTATTGTTGCGATGGCCGAGAGCAATTGTGCCTGGCTTTCGCACGAACGAATGGCGTTTCTTGGGCCGGGAACCGGGGCTCTATCCAATCTTCCCATCGAAAGCAGTGGCATTTGGACGGGTATCGGAAGCACACAACGTTGATAATGACACGTTCGCAATTCATGATCAAGCCGTCGTTTGCAATGATGGCGCACGTTGCGCAGTGCCGGGTTGCGGGCGCAGTGGCAGCGGACTTTGAGCAAGCACGCGGCGTCAGCATGGCGTCCAGTTGCGCGGCCATCACGCGCGTGCGACGGCGAAAAAACTTTCAAATGTTTTGGCGTTTTGACAGGAAGACGCACATCGAGAGAGAGAGAGAGAGAGCAGCCCACCCTGGCGCCCACCAGTTTTTTTTTTCTTGTTTTTTTTGTTTTCAGAACGCTTGCGGACTTAGTCAGCTCGCCCCCACGGCGACGATTGCGAGTCGCGACGCTTCCTGTTTTAAACTAGTTTTCTCAGCCGTTTGTAGTAAACGGAGCTTGTGTCTTTTATAAACGCGATTTTTGCAAACAAAAAAAATACCCCGTTGCACGTGCGCGATGGCGCGATTTGACGTTATTTGTTTTCCCGTTGTGGCTGCTTATTCAACACCCTGTGGCTTTCTTGCGTAGCACACCGCCGATACGGATAAGAGTGAGGGGGGCGGTGGGGACGTCGGCAGTTTGCGTGATTCTGGAGAAGCCCGCCGCAGGCGCCAAAGTTTCACAAGTTATACAACGAGCCCGCCGGAGGCGTCGATTTTTTCGCGTTAAACCAATGTGGGTCGGTTGCGGATGGGTCGAGGGTGGGTCGCAAATGGGTCGCCGGTGGCTCACGGGCGGGTCGCGGGTGGGTCGCTGTTGGGTCGCAGGTGGGTCGCGGATGTAGAGGGCTGATAATCCACCCCATAATAATTACACCGACAAGCGGAGCCGTTTAGTAAACGCACACAAGGAATTAATCGAACAGGGCAGGGTTGTTTTGTCAACGCCCAGGGCCCTTTTAGTCAACGTCGATTGTCGGGTCCGGGTGGTTTTTCCTCCTTTGAAGGTGGGTCGCGGGGTGGGTCGCGGGTGGGTCGCGGGGTGGGTCGCGGGGTGGGTCGCGGGTGGGTCGCGAGGTGGGTCGCGGGGTGGGTCGTGGGTGGGTCACGGGGTGGGTCACGGGGTGAGTCGCGGGTGGGTCACAACAACAGCATTAACTACAACAACGCAGCAAACATATTTTCCACCACGAATTCTTTATTCAGCCGCGCGCCCAGGGACAATGAATGACCGTGCGGCCCCCTCACTCTGATGCTGTTTTTTCACCCGGCCTTCGGCGGTTGCATCTTTCGCAAGTTGCCAGGGGCCTTTTTTGGGCCACGCGCAGCGGACGATGGCCGCCAGGCCGTGGGCTCTTGATGTGGGGGGTGCGGGGGTGGCTTGGGTCGCGTAGAGCACGACGAAGGCGAGATGGCGGGCGCGAGAAAGCTGTTTCAGGTTCCCCGAGGGGAGGATGAGGACTGGGGAGAGTGAGAGACGAAGCTGATGCGCGAGACGAGCGCGGGCGGTGCCAGCGCAGGCTGATCATGCGAAAACCCCGCGGTGGAAATGAACATCACAGGACAAAGTGTGCGCGACGCGCAGCGCGCGGGCGACGAATATCGAAGTTTGCGAGAGACCGTCGCAGGTCGGCGACCGCACGGGCGGTGACTGGGAAAGGCGCGCGAAGGAACGCAAAAACGTTGGGGCGTTGTGTTGCGCGAGGTGCGCTGGAATGAAGGTTCGGCGGAACTCGCGAGTTGGGAACGCGAAGTGGTAGAAGGCCAGGGAGGGTGCGACGTTCGAACGGAAAGTGTCTGGCCCTTTTCGATGAAACGGCCGAAGTGTCAGCGCACCAGAAACAAGCCAGGCGCAGCGGTGCAAGGTTGCGTGGGACATGCACGGAGGAAACGGAGAACGCGGCGCGGAAAGCGAATGCCGAAGCGGCGAACCGCAAAAACACAGGCGGAAACGAAGCCGCCGACGCGTTGCACGCGTGGTTGCGGGAAAACTTTGAGGGCGCGGAGCATTTGCAGCCCGAGCAGGTGAAAAGGACATCGAAAAGAGAGGAGCATTGTGGTGGTATGTGGACAGTGTGACAAGCGGGGCGCCAGTGCGAAGGGCGTAGCCGATGCGTTGACGCGTTTGAAGCGAGAGTTGACGTGCGCAGCGTTTTAGAAGGAGTTCCGTCGGTAGGACCACGTAAACAACAGACAAAATAATGATCACTTCACGAGGAAGTGTAAAACTGCACGCGCGGATTACAGTGCCGTCGGCTTGCCGGCGCGCGCTTGGCAAACGTGCGGGTGCTTCGGCGCTTGAAGCTTCTGGAATTTCAGTTCGCGGTTGGACCGGATTTCGTGCGTGCCCACCAGAACCGCGCGGTGAAGTGCAAGTCGTGCGCGTGAGACCCGCGGATGCGCTCGCGGCAGCGCGTGGATTTTCTGAGCCACGCGGGGGAACAAGAAGAGGAGGGGGCTATGGAGATGGAGGAGGAAAGGGAGGAAATGGAAGAGGAGGGGGAGGAGGAAGAGGAAGAGGAAGAGGTGGGGCCTTCACTCCAGCCTCCGACGGCCGCTCCAGATTGTGGAATCATTCAGGGCTTCAGGTCCATCCTGGCATGGTTTCGGGTCAAAGTCTAAGGGACGCTTCGTGGGGTCTCTTCGGGCCGATCACGGGGGACTGGAGGCCTTATTGGGAGTCTTCTGGTGGGCGCGTGGCGGTTCTTTGAAGCGCATTCGGGGTTCTCTGAAAGACTTCTGGGGCCAGCTGGAGCCTTTTTGGGAGCAAGCTGGGGGCGACTCGACGCCGAAGGCTCGATATTTTCACTTGGGTTTCCCTTTCTGGGCGCTTTACTTGTGCCGTCCTGGGGCTCTGTTGGGCTGTTCTGGAGGCTCATTTGGCGGTCTAGGTGCCCTATTTGGGAACCCTCCTGGGGGCCTCTGGGGGCTCTCTTCGGAGCCTTTGGGGGTGTCTTGGACGTAGTGAAGCCCAAATTGGCGGAGATGCTGAACATATGCGGCTTCCTGAAGCAATGAGGCGATGGTTGCTTTTGGGGCTCTTCATGGAACACCTTTTGGAGGCCCTTCGGGGCATCTGGAAGCCATCTTTGACGTCTTGGGGCGATGCTTCGGCGACTGTGGGTGCTTTGGGATCGTCATGGGGGGGCTTTTTGGGAGGCCCCAGGGGCTGTCCTGGAACTCCAGAGCGAGCCCCGGGAGGGCCGGACCCGTCCTGGTGAGTTCGGGGGTGGACCGTCCCTGGCCAGGGGGGGTCGAATTGCCAGGTTGGGGGCGCGGGGGGGGTCATGGGGGGAGGGGGAATCTCACACGTCTGGACACCCCAGGGGGTCGGCAGACTTCCACGAATCGCGTTGTGCGATGTTCTACCTTGTGTGTGACGTGGTGTCACGGCGACGCTTGGTCACGCGCGTGTTTCTCATGTTTCCCAAACTTTTTGCTCAGAAGAGTGCGATTCTACGACCAGGGGGTAAAATCTAGGATTTTAGGGTGGGCTCTGTTTCCTGCAAGATTGAATGTCGCCGCCTATGCGGCACAGGTGACGGTTTCAGAGCGGTTAATTTCCTATTTTGCAGTTGCTGTTTTGAAGCTCGCACTGTTGAGTGGCCGTTGCGAAAGTTCAGACGTTCATATGGCTTCATATGCGTCAGTCAAATTGTTCGCACGTTTCGCCTATCATAGAGACGCACGAAGGATCAAACGTCCAACCGATATCATAAACATCGCGCCATGGCTTCTCCACGGTGTCAAACTTTCAAGGTCTACATGCCCTGTGAAAAACAAAAGCCTCCCTCCTCCCCCGCCCTGCCTGCGTCCGTGCGCCCCCCTGCCCTATCCTCTCTTTCTCCTGCCCCTCCCTGTCGGGAGGGGCGTGGATCGCGCGCAGCAGCGACGATCCGAGCCGCTTGCTCCCCCAGCCCCCCACCCCCCCTCGCGCGGGCCCGCTGCCCAGCGCTGGCCGCGTTGACCTCCTCGCGGCGCCAGAGACGGCCCTCCCTCTCGGAGGGAGGAGGAGGAGGAGGAGGAGGAGGAGGAGGACGAGGACGAGGACGAGGACGAGGACGAGGACGAGGACAAGGAAGAGGAGCAGGAGGAGCGGGAGGAAGAGGAGGAGGAGGAGAGGAGGAGGAGGAGGAGGAGGAGGAGGAGGAGGAGGAGCAGGAGCAGGAGCAGGAGCAGGAGGACGAGGACCCCCTCCCCCTCCAACCTATGGTGGTGGTGGTGTTGGAAACAGGCCCATCATCCGTGCAGGGGCACGGCCTGCGGGCGCGGAAGGATGGAAGGATGAGGAGGAGGAGGAAGGGGGAGAGGAAGAGGACGAGGAAAAGGAGGAGGAGGAGGAGAATGAGGAGGAGAGGAGGAGGAGGAGGAGGGAGGAGGAGGAGGAGGAAAGAAGAGGAGAGAAATGGCAGGGGAGGAGGAGGAGGACGAGGAGGAGGAGGGGGGGAGGGGAGGGGAAACACCGATTTCCACGTTTGGCCATGCCCTGTTTAGAGAGGCCCCGGGCGCCGCAGACGGGGGCGCAGTAAGCGGGGGCACAGGGAGAAGCCTCGGCCCCCGTTGAGCTGAGCCCCCACTTAATTACGACGCCTCGAGCTCTCCTCCTCCTCCTCCCCTCCTCCTCCTCCTCCTCCTCCTCCTCCTCCTCCTCCTCCTCCTCCTCCTCCTCTTCCTCTTCCTGGGACATCCTGAGCCCTGGGCCCTGCGAGGACCACAAGCACCCCCACGGCCTCGACCGCGAGGGCGCGCGCGCCGTCCCGGGACCGAGGGCTACCCTGGCCAATCATGCGACCGTGGCGCACAGGCACCTTTTGCGGTGCCTTGCCAGCGCGCTCCACTCACGCCCTCAGCTTCCCAGCCGCGCCTGCTGTCAGAGGAGGACATGGCACCCATGCCCGTACCCGTTCCTCGTTTTTTCTCCTTTTGGGGCTTCCGCCCTCGTCGCCACCGCTGGAGTCGCCTCGAGAGCCTGGTCAGAACGCGCCCCAGGAGAGTTCCGGCGCCGTGGAGCAGCGGCATCGGTACATGTGGTTTCCCCCCCATTGACGCCCTCAGCCTCCCCGCCGCGCCTGCTGGGCGCGCCTGCGCGCGGCGGGGGCCTCCCCGCCGAGGCGTCGACACCCCGGCCGCGGCCGCCGCCCTGGCCACCGTCTTCGAGGGCGCGGGCCTGGAGCTGGAGGACCGAGCGGCCTCCCCACCGGGTCCTCTCCTGCGGAGATGCTGGGGCTGAAACTGGTGGCCCCACACCATCATCTCTCTCTCTCCTCCTGTCCCCCCTCCTCTCTTCTGAGAGTGCCCTACGCGCGGGGAGGCAGGCCCCTCTCAGGCAGCCCCTGGTGATATAGATATACCTGGGGGTTGAGCTCATCGCGCTGGACCACCACCTCCGGGCTTGCCCCTTGGTGGTGGCGCGCAGGTCTACGCCCCCCTGCTCTGAGCTCCTCTCCTCGCCCTAGGGGCAGGGCTCGCTGGAGCCGAGCCAGCGTCGTCGGTGACGCCTCTGGTGACTCCTCGGAGTCGTCTGAGCTTCCTCCTCCTCACTGGCACTCCGCGGAGCGAACGTCAAGGCTACGCTCTGGAGGGCCGCCGATCCGTCATCACTGACGTTGTGGCGAGCACAGGCGTGCGGGATCAGGGAAACAGCCCTTCCACGAGTGGCTCCCCGCATCTTAGACGGTGAGGGGGGCATGGACTCTAGAGGTGCCGCTGCCATCTGCGAAGCCCACTGGTCTCTTGTACAGCCCCCCGATCGTCCTGACCCCATTGAGCCCTCCATCCCTCACGTCTAGGCGCCTTGCAACATGAAAGCGGTCGACGGCTTGTTCTACCCCGCTAACGAGCGCCAAGCATCTGATAGGAATACCGGATCGAGAACGTTCGAACCGCAGTGCCCAGACCAGTGCAGTGACCAGAAATACAGAGCCATCTGTTGAGCGTCAGTGTTCGACGAAATTGAGCGTACACATGCTCAGTAGCGTCGGTGGGAGGAGAGGGCAGTGGCGGCACTAGGAAAATCAATTATCCAGGGAGTGCAGTCGTAGTAATAGCATTGCTAAACGCATTTGTGTAGCGTGTCTGTTGGTGCGAAGCCAGTGTTGCCGTAGCTGTATCAGGTCATCCATTGACCGTGTTATTGCATAATGGTTGTTTGGGTCATCATAAAGAGTAGCAGCACATCGTTCTTGCAGTATGAATTGTGATTTGAGCAACGGCACTAGCTGTACTGGCACTAGCTGCAGCAACGGCAGCAGCGGTCGTAGCGGCTACCGCAGCAACAGTGGCGACACCAGTAGAAGTAGTAGTTGTAGCCTCACAAGTAGTAGTGGCAGTAGCAGTAACAGCAGTAGCAGGTGTCCCGAGAGTAGTAACAGCAAGACGCGAGGCGGGCTGGTGGGGGGAGGGGAATTGACGCTACACAATTTGATGAGATGCACAGTCCATTAAGTGATGTTGGGGCAAAATCGCAAATGAGGTGTGGAAGGCCATGAGGGACGCGGGCTTGCGATGGCGAAGATGGTAAAAGTGGCGAGCGCGCTGGGGAGGTTTGACGACCGCGGGGAACTTGAACGGCGCATGTGAACACCTAAGTGGACGTGAGGCAGATTAGATTGTCATGGGGTAGATGGGAAAGTCATGGGGAAGTTCAGATCAGCACAGAGAAGTTCAAAACTGCATGGAGAAGTTCAAAACGGCATGGGGAAATTGAGAATGGCATAAGAAGTTCCAAACGGCATGGGGGAGTTGAGAACGGCATGGAGAAGTCCAAAACGGCATGGGGGAGGTAGCATGGATAATGCGGGAGGTCAGATTTGGGGCGGATGCGATTCGGTTGGTGACGGAGGGGGGTCGAAATGGCGCGGGGGGAGGTTTGGGAGGCGCGGGCGTGGACAAGACACCTCTCTATGTCTCTAGGAAACCTCTCGGGGGCCGGTTGGATTCATTCTTGTGGCCGCAGGGGGGCCTCCAATGGGGAGCATTCGGTGCATCTTGGGAGCCTGTTGCAGGTCTGCGCTCACAGGGCTGGTCGGATCGGCTCTGGACCCGAGTGCTCCTCAGCTTCGGCCAGCAGACGGGCCCCGCAGCCCCCCGCCTTTAGCCAGACGGGTCCCAGAGACCCTCAGCCTTAATCGGAAGGGCCCTGGAGCCCCACGGCCCTAGCCAGACGGGCCCATGAGCCCCCCAGCCTTCGCCATACGGGCCCCAGAGCCCCCCAGCCTTAGCTGGACGGGCGCATGAGCCCCCCAGCCTCAGCCGGACGGGCCCCGGAGCCCCCCAGCTTTAGCCGGACGGGCCCCGGAGCCCCCCAGCTTTAGCTGGACGGGCCCCGCTGGGATGACCGCGGAGATTTCTAAGTGGATAGGGGAGTTACAAGTGGATGCTAAGGTGGGTTATATCTGGCCCAACCTGGCTTATAAGTGGGTTACAAGTTCCCCGAGTGGCTCAGGGGGGTAGATAATTCCGCTAAGTGGGCGGAGCCCGCTTTGCACGGGTCGTTAACCCCCCTCAGGTACTTCGGCATTTGTAGCCCACTTACGAGCCAGGGTGGGCCAGATGTAACCCTCCTTGGCATCCAATTGTGACCCCCCTATCTATTAAGAAATCCCCACGGTCATCCCGGCGGAGCCCCCCAGCCTTGGCTGGACGGGCCCCCAAACCCTTAAGCCTTCGTCGGACGGACCCTGGAGCCACCGACGCGCCGCAGAGATCCCCAGCGTCTGCCAGAGGGGCCTCCAGAGGCCCCGAATGCCCACATGGGCTTCAAATTTCCAGAATTTATGGGATAACCGTGGGAGGTTCTAAGTGCACAATGGGGTTACAGGTGGATGCTAAGGTGAGTTACATCTGGCCCAACCTGGCTTATAAGTGGGTTAAAAGTGCCCCGAGTGGCTTAGGGGGGTTAACGATCCGGGCTAAGTGGGCTCCGACTTAGCGGAGATATATCACCCCCTTAATCCGCTCGGGGCAGTTGCAACCCACTCAGAAGCCAGGTTGGGCCAGATAGAACCCACCTTAGCATCCACTCGTAACCCCCTATCCACTTAAAAACCCACGGTCATCCCAGTTAGTCGGGGCAAGGGGATTTCCCCGCCCACCCCAGGCGATCTCTGGAATCCCCGAGTTTTGTGAGCAAATTTACATTGCGCCAAAGGCATCTTCGGCGTTCTGGGGACATGCAGGGCCCGTGGATGGGAGCGCACCCAAACGAGAGCGTAGGCGCAGAGCTTTCCTTAAACTAGCGCGGGGGAGCCCAGTAGGATTTGGCACGGTTCCTCCCTCTCGGGCCCCCGTTGAGGAGGGGAGAGGAGAAGAGGGAGAGAGGGATGGGGAGTGGTTTCGGGCCCCAAGTAGGCCGATGGCCCAGGGCCGACGTGGGCGCAGGGCGCGCGGGGGCTCAGGAAACGCACGGAGTCTGACGGTGTCCTTCCCAACTTCTTCACGTCGGCCCGAGGTTCCCCAGGGCCATCCTCCCCCACGTCCTTCCAATATCGCCCCACCCAGCGATCCAAACCTCGTTCGAATTTCCCCGTGCCCATCCCAATTCCCCCAGTGACCGCTCAAGTTCCGCATGCCCACCGCGCCAAGGCGCAGGCTCCCTCATGGCCATCCAACCTCATCCACGCCGAAGCTCGCCAGACACTTTCAGCGAAGGCGGCTGTCCTTAATGGACTGTGGATCTCATCGATACATAATTCGGGCACCGAGGGACTGGACATCAGCACCGGTAACAATCGGGGCTCCAACCAGGGCGGCGCCGACCAGGGCGCCGACCCAGGCACCAGCCAGGGCACCGACCAGAGCACCAGCCGGGGGGCCACCCGGGCCGGGGATCGAGGACGGGCCGCGCTCCGCGCTGCGCGGCCTCGGCCCGGGCCGGCAAGTTGCCCCTCGGGGGCTGCGCGGGCTCGGGAACGGGAACGGGACGCCTGTGCGGGCATGTGCCCGGGCCTCTTGAGGGCGAGGCGGGTGAGGCCACCGCCTCGCATGACAGATTGCGCGCGCCTGGCGCCCACTCAGGGAGATGTGCGGTTCACGAAGGTATGTTCCAGCTGTTCCCTTTTCTTTGCTGTAGCTGGTTGTAGCCACGTGGTGTCATTGAGGTCATAATGCCTTCGCGGCGTCTGGCGTCGGCTGCCTTCGTCGTGACAATGGCGGAGGAACCCACGAATTTCATCGTCCCAATTCTTTCAGTGTCCTCCATGATGATGCTGTCCAGTCTGGGCGTCGTGGAGGCTAGGGTGTCAAAGAAGAGCGCGCTGTGGCCACTTGTGCGGCTGTTGTTTCGCAACGCGTGTTGCGTATCCCCATACCATATTCTCGCTGCGTTGCCACCTAGTCGTGTAATTTGTCTGTGTTTGTGCATGAAGGTCTATGCTTGTCGAGTCGCTCGCTTGATGTATGAAAACCATAGTTACAACTTGTCGTTTTCCGGGTTGATTGCCCTTGTCGTCGTCTATGTTGTCGTCATTTGCGTCGTTGGCTTCGTTGCTTAAGTGGGCGGTCGGCGGGTGGTTGTCTACATCTTCTCCGTCGGTGCTGTCTGCGCCAGACCCTGGGGCTGGTGTCGAAGGTGGCTGTTGCGTGCAGGTCGTACTGGGAGTTGGTCTAACGTCGGTGCCGCGTCGTCGAGGGGTACCGATAACCATGGGCAACATGCGCCGTTGTGTACGTTGCAGGTGCTGTCGCAGATGCTCAGGCAACGTCCAGGTAACTGCGTCATAGGGGGTACTTGCAGTGCTCCTCGCCAGAGTTCTCGCCTCCCAGCACCGGGGCCGTTCTCTCGCCGTTTGGTTCCCGGCGCGGGCCCTGGAACGGAGGTGGCCCGCGGGGGAGCGCCCCGCGTGCGGACAGGATAGGATCGCCCGCGGCGTTTTTTGTTGGGGGGAAGTTGTGTCTCCGCGACGCCCGGGGGGCCCAGGTCCTCAGGCCTGCGACGTCTCCAGGCCTCCCAGGTGGGGTCGAAGGACTGCGCCGCATCGCCGATGCATCGCCGATGCGGCTCGATGTTGGGCCCGATTTGCTTTACGTCGACGTCGCCGATGCATCGCCGACGTCGACGATGCATTGCCCGTGCATCACCGATGCATCGCCGAGGCGGTGCGATCCTCCGACCCCATCTACTCCCACCCCATCTGGGAGGCCTCTAACGTCGCGCCTCCGTTCCTTGCAGGGACCCCCGAGCTCTCACGACCCCTCCCTGGGCTGGAGGCTGGATCTTCGGCCCGGGCCGCTCCTTGCCCACCTCCGCGAGGCTCGGAGCTGACCCCCGGGCACGGCGGGGGCAGGACAGCCGGCGGGCAGAGTGCACACGCGACGCGTCGCAGGGCCTGGGCCGCGGGTCCGAGCGGATGGTCGCCGTCCTGGGCCCCGGGCCGCCCCTGTGCGGCGTGCAAGGAGTTGGGGCCACCACGACCTGGCATCGCTCGGGCGTGTGTGCCTGTTCCCGTCGAGGGCCATCGGGGAGCACGCTTGAGCCTCGATGGGGCGACAAAGAGCACGCACGCGAGATCGAGAAGTGCACGGGCGACGGAGGTCCGAGTGACGGCGTGACCTGCGCGACCAGGGCGGGAAGTTCGTCGCGCTTCGCGGCCTGGGCGCCTGCAGAGCGTGGCGCGCGGCGAGAGCGGGGGGTGCGGGCCGAAGGCGCGAAGAGAGTCGCGCCTCGCGGGGCGCGGAGCGCCACCCACATATTGAGGGTGGGCAGCCTTCGCACGGGCACCCCTGCTTCCCTGCCTCCTCGGTCCACCCTTCGCCGCTTCCGTCGGCCGCGCCCCGCTCGAGAGGCTTCGGCATGGGCGTCCAAGGCCGCTCTTGCGTCCTCACCGCGCCTGCTGATGGCACGGGCCGACTGCACCCTAGAGTGAGGAGGTGGCGCGAGGGGCCGCGACCCCTGGAAGGAGGAGGATGAGAAAGAGGAGGAGGAGGAGGAGGAAGAGGAGGAGGAGGAGGAAAGAAGGGGAGGAGGAGGAGGAGGAGGAGGAGGAGGAGGAGGAGGAGGAGGAGGAGGAGTCGCGAGGTGACCCTCCGAGCAGCCTCCCGAGCGCGCTCGGGACCCGTCCCCGCACCTCCCGTGGGGCCCGGCCTGGCCGCTTCTGTCCGAGCCGCGCGCCCTGCCGTGGCGACGAGGGCCCCCCGGAGGCGCCCACGGGCTCCAGAGCGGCGGCGTCGTAGAGTTCGGTCGGGCATGCCCCTCGACGGGAGGAGTCTACTCCAGACGGCGACGTCGACGGCGCCGTCGGTGCCTCTCGATGCCGTCGTTGTAGAATTCGGTCGGGCATGCCCCTCTACGGGAGGAGTGCTCGAGAAGAGTGAGCGACACAGTCTGGGTGGCGATGTGTCATGCTCTTGCGGTGCTTGGGAGCATTTTGTTACCGTGCGCTGCATTGTTATGTCCAAAGTCCGCCTGTAGGAGGACCTCCTCCTCCTCCTCCTCCTCCTCCTCCTCCTTCTCCTCCTTCTCCTCCCCCTCCTCCTCACCCTCCTCCTGCCCGACCTAATCTCAGAGCCCTGGGGCGGGCGCTGCCCCCGAGACCCCCGAGGGCCCGCCCCGCCCCCCGCGGGCCCCCATCGGTGCCTCTGGCACCGCCCTGCGCCGCCCCCCCCCCCCCGCGCCTTCCGGTGGGCGAATGCCATCAAACATCGGGGCTCACGAGACGGGGGTCGATCCAGGGCCCCCAAACGGGGCGGTGACCACGCCGTGCGATGAGCCGGTGGGGATTCGGGGCCACCGCACGGTTTTGGGGACTCGGGTCGTTCTCCGAGGACGTCTCGGGCGGCTGGGGCCTCCGAGGTCCCAAGACCGTGCGGTGACGGACCGTGCGGTGAGGTCTTGGGGGAGCTCGAGGTCATCGCACGGTCCGTCACCGCACCGTTTCGGGACTCAAAGTCAATGCAAATGGGGGTCAGCCAGAACGCCTGATTTTGCAGGATCCTGCAGGGCCAGGGTCGCATCGACCCGGGCTTGGGTGCAGGATCCTGCAGGATCTTGCAGGATCCTTCGCGTTGACCTAGGTTTGGGTGCAGGATCTTGCAGGAGTTTGCAAGGCCTGGCTGACCCGGGTGTGGATTGACCCCGGTCAGAAGATCCCCGAACACATTGCTTGATGGCAGCGGCTGGTTGCGACGATTGGACGCAATTTTGATGGGCCCGTTTTCCTCCACCACCACCACCACCACCACCACCACCACCACCACCACCACCACCACCACCACCACCATAAGTTGGAGGGGGAGGGGGTCGTCGTCCTCCTCCTCCTCCTCCTCCTCCTCCTCCTCCTCCTCCTCCTCCTCCTCCACCTCCACCTCCACCTCTACCTCCTCCTCCTACTCCTCTCCTCCTCCTCCTCTTCGTCCTCCTCGTCCTCGTCCTCCTCCTCCCCCCCTCCAACTTATGGTGGCGGTGGTGGAAAGCAGGCCCATCGAATTTGCGAAGTTAGCGGTGTGGGACCATACGAAGGGCGATTGCATCAACATGTGAGCGGGCCTCGGCCCTCCCGGCAGCTCCTTCGCGCTGCCTCTGGCACCGGCTCCCGCCCCCCTCCTCCCCACCACCCAGCGGGTGGAGCCTTTCGGAGGAGGCGTCCGTGGTCATCGGAGAACCGGAGATGAAGATCGCCGCGGCCTCGGGAGGGAGGAGGAAGAGGGACGAGGAGGCGGAGGCGGAGGAGGAAGGACCGAGGCTCGAGGACCAGATCGGGTCGGGAACCGAGATGTCGATTGAGATGCAGTTCTTTGGATGCTTCGACGGCTTTCCAGGGCTCGCCGGACTTTCCGCAGGCCCCTGGAAATGTCTGGAGAATTCTGGGAGGCAGGAGGAGGAGGACAGGGGACAGGGGGCAGGGGACAGGGGACGGGAGGGGGAGGACCTTGATGCTTTTCTCTTGCTTCCTGCGTGCCCTGGCGGCCGACGTTGCCGCGGCTGGCTCCGCCCCGGCATGCTCGCCAGGAGGAGCTTCGGGACATGTGGCGGAGGCTGGAGGGGAAGATCGAAGCGAAACGCGGGCCCCAGACCAGCAAAAGCAGCTGTTTCGGTGTCGTGCTCGTGCCGTGCTCTTTTTGCGGGCGGGGCGACGCTGCGTGCGCGGGCGCGGCGAGTGGTCCTCCGCCGCCGCCGGGGCGAGGTCAGAGCACCAGGCCCTCCCCCGTCCGGTTGGCGGTTTGGGGGGCGGGGCTATCCCGCGGTTGTCCCCCGGTTGTCTCGCGATCGTCCCGATGGTTGGCCTGATGGTGTGCCCGATGGTGCCCCGACCGTTGTGCTGGTGGTTGTCCGATGCTTGCCCCGAGGGTTGTCCCGATGGTTGTCCCGATGGTTGTTCCTGGTGTTTGTCCCGATGGTTGTCCCGACGGTTGTCCCGATAGTTTGCGGTGAGATTGGTAGATCGTGAAATCGACATGTATATGTTAATCAGCATGGACCGCACACGGTGTGTTTCTATTAATAGATGTTGTGCAAACCATGTGAAGCAGCATGCGTGGTGTAATTCGAATGGACAACATACGCGGCGCAATCAATGTGGCACAATCTGTATTATGCGACGAATGTGAGGCCATCTATGTTGTGCACTATACGTCGTGCGATCTACGTTGCGCAACGCATGTGGTGTACTATGTCTACATATGTTTACATGTGCATATGCACATATATATATATATATGTACATCGACATAAACATACACATACTTTTACATACATGTATACATGCTTGAGGGCTTCGCCCTAATACATATACACCTACCTCTATTTACAGGCATCTAGAACACACGCACACATATACATATATATATATATATGTATATATACATATATACACATATCTATACATACATGCGGCTATTATTAATACTGTGTGTCCCGCCGCCGCCCCCTATTAATACTGCTTGCGGCTGCGTGGATAGCGCCGTGGGTGCTTCCCGTGGCAGGCTTCTCGGCAGCGTCTGCGGGTCCTTGTTCGAGCTTCTGAAGCCGCGTTGGAGTTTTTTGGGGCATGCTTTGGGTCTCTCGGGGGTCTCCTTGGGGCCTCTTGGAGGCCTCTTGGGGGCCTCTTGGTGCTTCTCTCCGTAGCCATTTTGGCTCAAGTCCGGAGTGTTTTGGCACAGGACCTGACCTCACTGGCACGGGGGAGTGACGGCCCCCTAAGTCACGCCTCGCTGCTTGGTCAGACGAGGTTTTCTGCGTTTCAGCGATTCTTTCTCGAAGAAGGGCCTCGACCCACTTTCCACTACGTCCCTTTCTCTTCTGTACTCTCGGGCGCCATGGCTCCGTCTGCTGACCACGGTTCTTCTGCAGATTGGAGTTGGACCTACAGGCCCTGGGTTCGTCTTGGCGCCAAGGGCCCCCGTCACAATGGCCCCATGTGGAAATGCCTTTCTTGTGGATGTGGGAAGAACCTGGGGTCTTTCGCTTGGTGCAAGCATTGCGGTGAATGGAAACCCAAGGATGTCGCCCACAATGCGAAGAACTCTCTCGTGCCAGAATCTAGCTGGGCCAGAGGCCCCCCTCCAGTTGCTCAGCCAGTCGATGTCTCTCAGCTCGAACGTTCTGAGTTGGTGGCCATGCTTGCCTCATCCAACAAGTGCGGCCAGACAGCTTTGGCCCAGGCTTGCCAGCGGAGGCTGGATGAGCTGGACAAGGGCCCTCCACCTGAGCCACCTTTGGAGTCTCGCCTGTCCAAGGCCCGCTGGGCTCTCACACATCAGGACGCCAAGCTCAAAAAGGCCATGGACAAATATCACAAGTGGCAGCAGGATTTGGAGCAGCACTGGGCGCACGTGGAGGAGCTTAAGTCCCACTTGGATGAACTCCAGGCGGACTACGACAAGCTCGCCGCCTCTGTTCGCCCCACGGCGACGGCACCCGACCCCCAAGCCCACGCTGTCCCTCTCCGCCCTTCTGGAGGACAAGCTCGACGGTTTCATCATTGATTTTGGAGATGTCTTCGCCATGGGCGGCGAGGAGGGTCTTGGGGAGGATGAACTCCGCCAGGCCGAGGAGCGCCGTGAGGCTCTCTCATCAAGGGCCTCCAGGACGGCGCGAAGAAGCTATTCGCAGATGCTGCTGCCAAGGCTAAGAAAGCTCGGGCGGCTCACCAGCAACAGATGGAACGTCTCGCTGCTAAGCGCCGTCGAGCAGATGACGGGCCGACTGCCACCCCACCAGGAGCTGGCGATGAGGCACAGGCCGCTCGTGGCTCACAAGACGCTGCTGATTCAAGCTCCTCAGCGGCTGCGACCCCCTCAGCCACCGCAGCTTTCGAGCAGGAGAAAGCCCGCAGGCTGCAGCAGCAGAAGGAGAAGTCAAGCTCCTGACGGCTCAGCCACGATCGGCACTCGCAGACGACGACCTGGTGCTGGTGGGAAATCCACTGTGACTTACGAAGGTAAGCAGCATCCAGATTACTTTCCAGAGTTGTTCAATTCATCCGACAAGTCTTCGCTTTCTATCCCAGTGGTTGGGCCTCTCTATTCGGATCAAGAGAAGACTTGGCATCTATACTTTCGAAATCTTTCCACTTGGGGCCCCTCCGCCAACGGCCTCATTGACCAACGCCAGTACGATGCCATCCTCTTGGTGGAGACGCATGCTGGCCCTGAACATTCAGACGACCTCTTGCGGCGTTGGAGCAAGAACGGCTACGACGCGGTTTGTACCCCTGCCCGACCCACTGACAGAACAGCTCTCTCTGGAGGTGCAGTGCTTGGGTTCAAGAACACATTCATGACTTCCTCCTTCAGGCACCTGGCCCTGAATCAGGCCCAGCAGGTTGGCATGCGGGACCTCTCATCTACCAGGGGAAACATCGATTTCTTTGACTTTGCCCCTGTGGTCTGGCACATCCAGTGGGTCTCTCTGTTTGGTCTCGGCATACTTTACTTCCAGCATAGGCCTGAAAGGAGTTAACCTGCAGAAGTTGGCCATCCTGGGGAGTTTCATCAAAAGTCTGGACATGCCGTGGGCCATCTTCGCTGATTGGAACGTTCCTCCTTCTACGCTCATGCAGTCGGGCTGGCCCGCGATGCTGGGGGGCATCCCCGTCACTCCCACGGACGTGGACTACACTTGCACGATTGGGTCAGGCGCGATGTTGGATTATGGCATTGTCTCTCCCCACGCTGGGTTGCTTATTTCCAGTTTGACTGCTGACACCTCTATGGTGGTGGCCCGAAATTCTGTTGCAGGCAAAGCCCACTTCGGCCTCAAGATTGATATTCGTGCGCGCGCGGCGCTGGCTCGAGCCCTTTTGCATTCTCCCCCGCGGCCTTTCACCCATCAGCCGCTGCCTTCCAAGTCTGCCGACCCGCACAGCAAGCGTTCCAGGATAACCGCAGCTGGGGCCAGGAGTTCGCAGAGGAGGGCAGCCGTCGAGGTTGAGCTGCCTGCCATAGCCGCTCTTTCTGGTCTACCACCTCCGAGATTGACCTTTGCTGACCTGGAGGAAGAGTCCTCCGCCAATGAGTACGAGGAGGACCTCCCACCTGAGTTCCAGCAGGTTTCGATGGAGGAGCCGCTTGATGTCCCGATGGCTGACGGTGAAGTATCTACTCTTCCCGAGGGGCCATTGGAGGAACCCTCTCTCCAGGAGGGGGTTGACCAGGCACAAAGACGCCCTCGGGACGAGCTTTGGAATGAACTTTTCTCTTCGAGAGACCTGTTTCCTGGTCAGCCTGCGGATTTCATCTCCAGGTCTCTTGCTTGCGAAGTTTCGTCTTCTGATGCATTTCATGTGGGGCAGCAGCACGGGCGCTGGGTATCGGCTCTGGAACTTTTCTTTATTCAGACGCTCGAGATCCCACCGCATTCTGCCAGAGCTTATGTGGGACGGGCTGAGGCTCGGCGTTTCCGTGTGGCGCCCATCAAAACCCCTAGGCAGTACGCCGTGCAGGTGGACCCAGCGACAAAGTGGTGGGCTGTTCTCCTGGCCCTCTTCGAGGGTTTGCTCAGGAAGCAGGCGGATTCCTCCAAGACCACTTTCATCCAGTCCCGCATCAAGGACCTAGCCCTCACTATGCCCACCTCAGCCTCTCTCCCACTCACGGCCGCCGCTCGTCGGAAGTGGACCTCCACTCTTCACCGAGTTCATGAGTGCAGTTTGGTTCAGCTTGAGGAATTAAAGACCACGGTGGCCAACAATGCTGTCCGTGCTCAACGTTTCTCCGCTTCAGCTTCAAGGCGTGGTTTTGATTCCTGGATTTTGACTATGTCTTCCACCACCCCAGGCAAGCTCTACGATTTCATCCGTCACCCTACTGTCACCCTGAATGGGATTCGGGTGGTTCAAGGAACCTTGGCAACTCCTCTTGACATCATGGCATCAAAGAAGCAGTGGTGGGAGAAAGTATGGTCTAGTTCGACAAGGCGAAGATCCTAATGGCGTATGAGAAGGTGCGTCAGAAGGCCAAGGTCACCGACCTGGACCCGATCACTGTACTTCAGGTCATAACCATCTTGCGGACTATTTCTCCGAAGAAGGCCAAGGGTTGCGAGGCTCTCAGCATCAATGACTTCCGCCGCTTGCCCGACTCCGCCATCCAGGACTTGATTGAGATCTACCATCAGGTGGAGCGATGTGTCTCATGGCCATGGCAGCTGCTCGCTGTTTTCAGCAGCTTGCGTCCC